AAGTCCAATCTAAGTCAAGAATTAATAAAAATCAGATCTTAAGTCAGTGAAATGAAAACAAAGAATTAACAAATCTAAGTGCTGATTCTTTGATAATACAAACAAAATTGACATATCATTGGCCCAAGTAACCAAAAGAAAGGAAGAATGGACCCAAATTAAAAGGACTGGAATTACAACTACCTAAGAGATTCACAATACTGTAAGGGAACATTTTAAAACCTGTAATCCAGTAATCTGGAAGACCTAAAAGAAATGGATCAATATTGAGATTTAGCTAAGCAACCAAAATTAAACCAAGAAGAAATCAGCATCCTAAGATCAATAACAAATGAAGAGATTGAAGTAGTAATTAAAAGCCTTCCAGATTAAAAAAAAATTCCAGGGCTTTGGATGGAATCAAAACAAAATTCTATCAGACTTTCAAAGAAGAAATATAGTCAGTACTTGTTTAATCAGAAGAACACTCCCAAACTCTTAATACCCCAACCAGTAAAGACTTGCGTGTGTGTGCACACACGCACGTGCGCACAGACACACACACGTGCGTGTGCGTACACACACGTGCACCTGCATGCACGCACACACACACACACAGTACACATATACACCCACATATCCAACACACCACACTACACACAAAAAAGAAAGAAGACTACCTGCCAATATCCCTGATGAACATAGACTCAAAAACACTCATAAAATACTTGCAATGCTTACAAACAGAATACAGACATACATTTAAAAAATTGTGAACCATGACCAACTTGACTTTATTCCTTAAATTCAGGGATCATTCAACATATGCATGTCAATAAATGTAATAAAACACATGAATGGACTTAAAGACAAAGATCAAATGATCATCCCAATGGATGCAGAGGAAGCTTTCGACATAATCCAACATGCCTTCATGTTAAAAGTCCTAGAGAATGCAGGGCCAGAGGGAAGGTACCTCAACATGATAAAAGCCAATATCATCCTAAATGGAAAATCTTGAAGCAGCCCCGCTGACCTCAGAAAGGTTGAAGGGATGTCCACTGTCCCCACTCTTCTCAATACTGTGATCAAAGTATTAGCTGAGGCAATGAGGCAAAAGAAAACAAGCAAAGGGAAGCAGATAGGGAAAGAACTCACCAAACCATCCCCTCTGGCAGAAAAGATGGCACTGCACCATAGCCAAAAACTCTACCAGAAGACTGAGAAATTATAAACAAATTTATCCATGTCATAAGACAAAGAACCAACTTGAAAAGTATTGAAAAAGTCAATAACTTTTCTATACCCCATCAACAAATATATAGAGAAGGAAATCATGCATACACTCCCATTCACAATAGCCTCAAAGAAAACAAAATATCTGGGGATAAACCTGACCAGGGAAGTGAAGGAACTCTATAGTAAAAACTTTAAACCTCTAAAGAAGGAGTTAGAGAAACACAGCAGAAAATGAAAAGATATCCCATGTCCATTAATTCTATCAATTCTAATTCTTTTCATTGATAGAATTAATACTGTGGAAATGACCGTTCTACTGAAAGCTATTTATAGACTCTGAAATCCCAGTCAAAATCTTTTTACAGAAAGAAAGAAATCTATCCTAAAATCCATATGGAAGTACACAAGACCCCTGATAACGTAAATAGTTTTGAACAAAAAGAACAATGATAGAGGTATTCTATTTCCAGATCTTAAGATACACTACAGAGCCGTAATAACTAAAACAGTATGAAATGGGCACAAAAACAGACATGTAGACCAACGGGACAATGTTGAAGACCCCAACATGAGTACTTACAACTTCACCCACTTAATATGTGATTAATATCCAGACTATATAAAGAACTAAAAAGAAATAATTTTAAAAAATGGACCTTAGGCCCTGAAGACCCACTTCTTAAAAGAAGAAATAAATAGCTAAGAAATATCTCAAAAAAGAAATGTTGATTGTCCCTAGCAGTTTGGGAAATGCAAATCAAGACAACATTGATATTTCCTCTTAACCTAGTGAGAATGACAAATTCCAACAGAACAACCAAGAGCCAAGGCTGGAGGGGGCAAATAATGAGTAGAGACGAGAAGGAGAGAAACGTTCTTTTCTTTTCTTTTCTTTTTGGTTTTTACGAGACAGGGTTTCTCTGTATTGTTTTGGAGGCTGTCGGTTCAGCCTGGCCTCGAACTCACAGAGATCCGCCTGCCTCTGCCTCCCGAGTGCTGGGATTAAAGGCGTGCACCACCACCGCCCAGCGAGAAACGTTCTTTTCAACATATATACTCTTCACATCTCATATATATGAGTATTGCATTAAAATAATTGAAGATTTTTGAGACAGGTGTCACACTAAAGCCCAGGTTGGCTTTGAACCACTGGAGATGCTTCGCTTGGTGTTCTAAATGCCAAACTTACAGGTTTTAGTCAGCTCATCTGACTACATTTTTTTAAAAAAAGCACAATAACTAAGAGCAACAGATATCTAAGCTTGCTGGAAGCACATACTTATGCAAATAGATGTTTTCTCACAAGGCATATGAACTTTCTTTGAGAGAGTTCTGATTAATACGTGACCACACTGAAAACTGAGACTATACTGGAACTCTGTCTTCTTAATAATGGCAGAACCATAATGGTCCAGAGACAAAGAAGAGATGGATAGATAATACTGAGGGAGTAGAAGGCTCACACACACACAGATGCCATTGTTAAAAACAGTTAAATGTAGCAACACCTAAAGGATGGCAGGATCCCAAAAGCTGCTCGCAAGTGTGGTGGGCTTAAAAAGTGGACTGTTTTTCCAATTTCCCCCACTATATAGCATTTTCATTTCAAACTTAAAAATCTCAGAGAACCACTGGGCATTGGTGGCGCACGCCTTTAATCCCAGCACTTGGGAGGCAGAGGCAGGCAGATCTCTGTGAGTTCGAGGCCATCCTGGTCTACAGAGTGAGCTCCAGGACAGCCTCCAAAACAATACAGAGAAACCCTGTCTCGAAAAACCAAAAAAAGAAAAAAAAAAAGAAAAAGAAAAAGAAAAATCTCAGAGAACCATGAAGTTACGTGTTATGCATGAGGAAGTGGTGGCAGAACGAAGATCACAAATCACAAATGTCTTTCTTTACATGGAGGCTAGATCTATGCGTTGTCCCTCCACTTGATGTGTTTTTAATATAAAATGCAGCAAACGCTAGCCATTTGCCCTTTTGCGTCACGGGGTGTAGGTGTGTAGATGTAATGAGTGTGTCATCCGTAGGAGTTTACTTGATTCATGTTCAGCCCCTGCACTGAAACCAGTGGGGAGAGTCCATGGTACAGCCTCGATGGACCCCTGGAAAAAGACCTGTCATTAGCCACCTTGAGGCACTATCACTCACCGTTCACCTAACTGCAGCTGAGAAAACACTTTTCTGTCGGCAGAGAGCTTTTTGTATGTCTTACATGTCAACTTTGTGTGGCTAGTTGGATCTGTCATTAAAGCCTCCTCATAACAAGCTTGGGGAGAATAAATAAATAAATAATAAATAAATAAATGTGGGGAGGATGAAATCATGGCAGACAAGTGTTGTTTGTCGTTTTGTAGGATACCTACCAGAAAGAAAAAAGAAAAGTTCCAGGTCAGCGTGAAACTGAACACAAAATTACCTCCCATTTCCGAGAGTATTTGGAAATAATAACTAACTGCTGCCTGTCACGCAATGACCCTCCATCTACAGAAACGTGAGCCCTGCACTCAGGAACCCTCCCTCACCGCACAGAAGCCATTTTCTCTCGTTCTACTGAGGCAAGCAGATCACAGATCCATGTGCCTAGCTGGACAGGGCATGGAACATGTATGTAAAGGAGAAGCTTCCTCAGCATGGGACTAACTTAATGATGCCGAAACGACTCTTCAAAGGGCCACATCATTAGCATCGTCTTTAACCGAATTGCTCGGGTACCTTGGACACCTGGGCCACAGTCTATGAGTTATTAGTGGAGACGCTGCTGTCACATCTCATTAATGATACAGTTTATTTTGGGGGAAGGATTTTTGTCAGTTTCTTTCTTTCTTTTTGGTTTTTCGAGATGGGGTTTTTCTGTATTGCTTTGGAGGTTGTCCTGGAACTTGCTCTATAAACCAGGCTGGCCTCAAACCCACAGAGATCCACCTGCCTCTGCCTCTCGAGTGCTGGGATTAAAGGCGTGCACCACCACCGCCTGGCCGTCCGGTAATTTTTGTCAGTTTCTAGTCATGTTAAGCAGGTTGTGAGGTTTTATAACACCCCCCCACCAAAAAAAAAAGGTTGAAATTTAGCTCAAGAAAACCCAAGGGATTTATGTAATTCATTAAGAGAGTGAAATCATTTTCCTCTAGAATACACACATCCAAACAAGAATAACACTTTCAGAAGAGAAAATAAACTGAGGTGAAGTCCTTTTATCAGAGCAGAAAGACTGGGAGGGGATAACAGAACTGTAGAAACATGTTCTTCTGAACTTGGAAATCAAACGGCTCCCTAGTTAGAAACCTATATTAGCACATACCTGGACAAAATCTCCAAGACAAGAAAGTATCTGCCTGAAAAAAAATGACCAAAACCATTTGCTATTTTATACTTATAAAAGAAGGCATTTACTTGGGGCTTGCTTACAATTTCATGAGGAGTTCATGGCCATCACGGCAGGGAGCAAAGCAGCAAGCATTCAGGTATGGGGCTGGAGCAGTAGCTGAGAGCTTCCATCTTATCCAGAAGTCAGAGGCAGAGAGAGAAGGACTAGGCCTGACATGGGCTCTTCAAACCTCCAAGCCCTACCATCCGTGACGCACCTCCTCCAACAAGGCTGCACCTCCTAACCCTTCCCCAAACTGTTCTACCAACTAAGGACCAAGCATTCACATAGATGAGCCCATGGGGGCCATTCTCATTGTGACCTCCACACAGCCAGTGGTCATCTTCAGTTGGCTAGAAAGTGGAGAGGGCAAGTTTGGAACAGTTCCAACACACACACACACACAAAAAAAATA